TTTTTGTTATTTAATTTATGAGATAATAAAAATTACTTATTTGCCAAGAGGAAATGGAATTCCAATATATTGCATTTTATGAGATAATAATTTATGAGATAATATGTTATTTATTATTTATTTATAAACATGCTATTTATATTGCATTTTTGTAAAATTCTTATATGTTGAAAATAGTTGAAAAAATCATTATATTTTTTTGTTTTTCTTTGTTTCAATTATTATATTTTCTTTTCCTTTTAATAATTTATTATTTTTTAAATTAAATTGGGTTGTATCAAAATCAAATATCCAACATATTGATTGGATTCAGATTTGAATCAATATTTATGAGATCCAATCAAATCTTCAGATTAAATCGAATTCAAATATACCTTGATTCAAATCCGATCTGATCTATTTGCATCCCTACCAAACCACTTACCTACAATGACCTAGCTAATTAAATCATTGAACCATTTGACATGGTTAGTGGGATCATGTGTTAGACATTAATGCTCTTTATTTTTTATCCTAATTTTTATCCCATTTCTACTATTAATGAAAATAATTCTCATTAATCACACTTTTTTTATATGATAAATATATAATATTATAGAGTACCCAAATTATCTACAAATTTCTACATTTTCTATAATTTTATATATTTTATTATTTATTATTAACATCATGTGTTGATCCATTTGACATAGATAGTTGAACCACTAACCCACCACTTAGATGGAAAAATCATTTTTTCTTTTTTGATTGATTTTAAATCATGTATTACATTTTCATCATCAATAAAAGTAGTTCTTATTTCTGCATTTATTTTTTATACATGGCAGTACCAAATGATGATGATGATGATAATAGTCAGTAACCAAAGGACCTTACTAGTTGAACCATTAACCTATTTAACTAGGAAAATGGACTATGATTTTTATTTTTTTCTTTGTATTTTAGCCATTTCTATCTTTGCTAATGATAATTCTCATTTTTTTTTCAAACATATTTTTGTTTAATATGAAGAATATATAATATCAATGTATGTTCAAATTTTTTTATAAAATTTATAAAAAATTTCTATATTTTTATTTTTTATTATTTAATTTATGAGATAATAAAAATTTACTTATTTACCAATAGGAAATGTAATTCCAATATATTGTTTGAACATTGGTTTTTAATATTATGGTCAAATCAATTATTTATATATATAGTATATATATTATTTATATAAAATATATATGTTATTTATTATTTATTTATAAATATGTTATTTATATTGCATTTTTGTAAACTTTTTTATATGATGGAAATAGTTGAAAAAAATACTTATAATTTTTGTTTTTTATTCCAACTATTATATTTTTCTTTTTCTTTTAATAATATATTACTTTTTAAAAAATTAAATCGGGTCGTATCATATTCGAATATTTGACTTCTTGGTCGAATTCGGATTCGAATCAATATTTATGAGATCTAGTCAAATCTTTGGATCAGATCTTATTTGAATATACCCTAATTCAAATCTGATCTGATCTGTTTGCATTCCTACCAAACCACTTGCCTACAATTACCTAGTTAATTAAATTATTGAACCATTTGACATGGTTAGTCGGATCATATGTTAGACATTAATGCTCTTTATTTTTTACCCTAATTTTTATCCCATTTCTATCATTAATAAAAATAACTCTCATTAATCACACTTTTTTATATGATGAATTAATATTATAGAATGTACCCAAAATTGTTGACAAATTTCTATATTTTCTAGAATTTTATGTATTTTATTATTTAATAATAGCATCCATTTGACATGGATATTTTAATCACTGACGCATCACTTGGATGGAAATACCATTTTGCTTTTACGAATGATTTTAAATCATGTATTCCATTTTCATCATCGATAAAAGTAATTCTTATTTTCACATTTATTGTTGCTTAATATGGTGAATACATAACAATAGAATTGTATCAAAATGCTTTATACAAAGCTTATATATATATATATATATGTGTGTGTGTGTGTGTGTGTGTGTGTATGTATTCGTTACTTAGTTATGACATCATAGATTGACCCATTTGATCTAGAACATTAAATTATTGACCTACCTACCATCTAGATATGGAAATGGTTTTATTTTCAAATTGGTTTTAAATTTTGCATTTCATTTATATCATTGATAAAATAATTATTATTTATCATACTTATTTTTGTTTATATTATTAGTATATAATATTATAGATGTGCACAAAATTGTTTCATATTTTTTGTACTATTCTATTTTTAATTATACATCATGGGTTAACCTATTTGACCTAAAAGGTTGAACCACTAACACACCCCCTAGATAGGAAGATGGTTTAATTTCTCATCGGTTTTAAGTTGTATATTTGATGTCCATCATTAATAAAATTATGCCTATTTTATCATAGTTATATTTTAATATGACAAATATATAATAATAGTAATGTGTCCATTTTTTTCAAAATTTCTTTTTTTTCTATATTTTTTGTATTTCTTATATTTCTAAATTTGTATTATTTATTTATGACATCATGAAATTATCCATTTGACCCAAATGGTTGAACTACTCACCTACCACCTAGATGAAAAATATGATTTCATTTCTATTTTTATTTTTAAAATATAAAATTTCATTCTATTAATAATTATTGTGTATAGATTAGTGAAATTTAATGATGATAAACAAAAGTATAAATATTGGATTCAATGAGAGAGAATGTAATTTATTTAATGGCGTAAATGTGAGAGGTAATTGAATGTACTTAATGGTATTCTTCTAATTACATTTTCTGCCATTTCAATGAAAATGAACTAAATTCAAGAGGAGGGTATTTTAGCAAAAAAAAATTCCATAAGCCAATACCTCATCATTCACACTTTTATAAGTAGTATAGATTGTTTAAGTTAGAAACTTTTAAATTAAAAAATTATTGAAATTTTTAATAGTGATAATTTATATTTGGTAATTATTAATAATTTCTATAATTGATGTAATTTATATTGGTTTTTGGTATTTGTTAGGATTTTTTAATTTAGTGATTTCCATATGTAAATACATGTAGATCAGCATCGCAGGGATTGTGATGATATATAGGCAATCACTAGAGTACCTGCGATAAGTGTTATGCTTGTAAATGAATTTGATAGGCAAACACAATCACAGACCTTTGTGACGCCTGAGAATCACTCCAAGGCAATGAATACAACCAGTCACGCTTGTGATGCCCTTCACAAATCACCCACAATCATTTGAAGCTTCAACGAGCAGGGATCGCCTCACGCTCAACTGCAATAAGTGGTGACAATTCACTTGTCACGATAAACCATTTCACCAAGACATGTCAGCATCCCAAAGCCTTATTCTCAATACGTGACTGCGAGTAGGCGTAAAAGGGGATGTAGTCGGGTACATACCATGCGTGGATTCTAAGGGAAAAGGAATCCCAACCCAAGAAGATCCTCACTAGACACATGGTGAAACCCTGATAAAGCTTACCTATTATACACCCAAAATAGCCTTAGTGRTCTCTCTATAAAAGAGAGAGACTCAAAGGCCTCCACATGAGATTAGTCTTGAGAGTCTTTGCTTTCTAGCCTTCTGGTTCCTTTTCTTTGTCATACCCTATCTCCCTCTTCTCTAAAGACTATCCTTGCTCCTATGGACCTCTAGTCATCCTCTATCCTTCAAAGAGACCACCCCTTGTCTCCTTACCACCCTACTTACACCAAAAACTAATTTTCATGTTTTTTGTAATTTAATTATTTTCATGTTTTTGGTAATTTAATTTAGTGAAAGTTCATTTAAAAAATCTAAATTACTGAAATTTTTATATTACACCATAAACTAATTTCCATGCTTTTGGTAATTCAATTTAGTGAAAGTTCATTTAAAAAATCTAAATTACAGAAATTTTTATATTTTCATTAATTAATTATTAAAAAATTCAAAATATTTAAAATTAATTTATTCATATCTATTCAGAAATTTATTTAAATATATATATATATATATCAATATTTGTACTAAGGATTTTTAAGATATTCAAAATTTTCTTTCTATTTTTTATTTTCTGTTATGCAAATAACAGTAAATTATAAATAGGTATTTTTATTAATTTAGTTTTAACATCCTATGCCAAAGTGCCAATTGATTGGTTAATATGGTCTCCTTGGTTAGTACGGTCTCCTGTTGGTTGTTGTAGAGACTTTATGGATTTATGGATTTGGGGATGATCCCCCTGTTGTTTAGCCCCTGGAGAAACAACTTTTAAGCCTTCCCTATATTTTAACTTATGCCAAAGAAGAAAGATTCCTCGTATCTTTCAAATTATCTAATTCTCTTGTGCATCGCATGAGGCCCTATAAGAAATAGCAAAAAAACCAAATGTGAAAAAAAAGGAAGACACAAATTTATGTGATTCGGCATAAGGAATATATATCCAAGGAGGTTCCCTTCAAAATTACAATCATGACAGCCCTGGCAGAAAGCTGATATTGAAACCATTGAGCTAGGATACAATTGTTGCTGCCTTCATCCATGTTGAATTTACCAAAATATCCATGCATAGAAATTGTTCAAACATAATTTCTGATTTTTACTATAGAGCTATAAACATTCAAAATATAAATAATCCACACTCTATGCACTAACACTCCTTCATGAATTGACATCAATTTCGAGTTGGCACTTACCCTTAGAGTACTTTAGGCCTACAAATTCTGACCTTGGGCTGAACCATCATTCTCCCTAATTTCTACTGATGTTGACATTATATTCATTCATTCTTCATCACAAACATATACGTGCGAATAGACAATATAATAATAAACCATTAGGATGGTATCATAATTACTGACACTATATAATATTAGTCATACAGATGATGAGAGATAATGTGGCAATTCATTTACTCACAATGAGTAACAAGTCATAACACTGATTTAATTTCATACATGTCACCCAACAATATTTAGAAAATAACTAAGCACGCCCAAACGCTACTTTGAATATCACAGGACCAAAAACTCCCCAAAAACCTAGGACGAATCCCAATGCAATTGCAAAAGGATACATTTCAATCATCCCAAAGCAAATACTGTCCCCATTTCCTTCGCTTCTAGGCTTTGGAGCTTGCGTCTCATGGTTGCCTGGATTGCTGCAGGTTTTTTTCAGTGGTAAACCACAAAGTCGTGGGTTTTCAAAAAAACTAGATGCATTAAAGCCTTCAATCTGGGTGCCTGAAGGAATTCTTCCTGACAAATCATTATATGACAAGTTCAAGTAACCCAAGAAGGTTAAATTTGACATGCTCTGAGGAATGACACCTGAAAGATGGTTTCTTGAGAAATCAAGAGATTCTAGTGATTTCATGTTACCAATCTTCTTGGGGATCTTCCCCACCAAGAAATTTAGAGAAAGATTCAGGTTTTGCAGACTAGAAAGATCCGTAAGTTGATCTGGGATTTCTCCTGACAACTTATTGTTTGAAAGGTCCATGCTTGTCACAAGGTTTAGAATCATACCATAATCAAATACCTTTCCTTTTTCCACTAATGGAGTTGTCTCCACATATTCTACATTGTCATTCTCGAAATCAACATGCTGAAACAGGTACTCTTGATTTGAGGCCATGTATTTGAAGTTTCCAAAGCAGTGTGGTATGGATCCTGACAAATTGTTTTCTGAAAGGTCTATAATTTGAAGACTATTGAGATAACACAGTTCTGGAGGAATTCTACCACTGAAGTTGTTAGAACGTAAACTGAGGAACAAGATAAATGATAAATTTTGTCCTATCCACAATGGTATCCTTCCAGAAAATCTGTTCTCACCAATATCAAGGGTGATTAGAGATGTGCAATTCTTCAATGATGAAGGCAATTCTCCCATCAGATTGTTGTTAAGCAAGTGTAGTGACTGGAGTAATGTTAGAGAACCAATGGAGATTGGAAGCTTCCCACTCAGATTATTATTCCCCAAGTTTATCACCTCCAAGAAAGGGCAATTCATCCAACAGTCAGGAATTTCTCCTGAAAGAAGATTGTCTGAAAGATCAAGAATAATCAGGTTACTTGTTTCCATCATCTTATCACAAAGGAAATGGGAAATAGATCCAGAGAATAAGTTCTTGGAGAGGAGCACTTGAGTGATGTTGGGAGAGAAACGGGGTAGTGAACCACGAAGGTAATTGTGATCCAAAAAGACTTTTGCATCAACAGAATTAGTGTTCAATAATCCAGGAAATTCACCATAGATTTGGTTATAAGAGAGATCTATATAGTGAAATCGCGAGGACAAATTCCAAAACCAATTAGGAATGGTATCTGAAATTCCTACTTCGGAGAAGTTTAAACTAATGAAATCCTTTTGTGTCTGAAGCCATGCAGGGAACTGAGGGCCCAATTCCCAAAATCCCATATCCAAGTTCTCGAGTTGGAATGGAGGAATCCAACCAGTGCTCACATTCAAAACCACTGAGTTTGAAGATGCTTCTAGTGTTTTCAATCTAGTGAGTTGGGCAAAGTGAACTTCTGACAGAACACCACTGAAGGAGTTTTCAGAGATGATGAAATGCTCTAGCTTTGAAAGATGCCCAATGCTTTTGGGAACAGTCTCATTGGATTGATTCATGTAATTAGACAGTTTCCAGCACATTGATGAACCTCCTAAATATTGAGATATATCTCCTTTAAGTCTATTATTTGACAAGTCTAATCTCTGTAGGTTGCAGAGATTTCTCAACGTTTCAGGGATATCCCCCTCAAGGTTATTGAATTGCAAATGCAATTCCTTGAGTGAAGTAAGGTTACCAATTGCACTCGAAATTGTACCTCTAAAATGGTTTGAGCTAAGATCGAGGTACACAAGATTGCCAGAATAATACACCCAATCTGGTATACTAGAACTAAAGCTATTGACTGAAAGATCGAGGGCGGTAAGAGAAGTAATATTAACGTGGGGGAGAGGTGGAATGGTGGCAAGTTGGCAGAAGCACAAGCGTAGCTCAAATAAACGAGGAAGTGTATTTGTTACCTGCAACCAGTAATCAGAGGCCTTACTCAGGTTTACTGAACTCATGTCTAGGTAATGAAGAGAGGAAAGATGAGAAAGCCACTGAAGATCTTCAACATGTAACAAGTATCCATTTCCCATATCAAGATACTGCAAATTAGACAAATTTCCAAGCTGATGAGGAACCTTGCCAACAAAACCAGAATCAAAGAGATTCAGGTATTCCAGACTTTGGAATGAGCCAAGGAACTCTGGGATCCGGCTTCCTCCAAAATCATTACTACTAAGATCCAAATGCTTGAGATGTTTCAACTCTAGCAAGTGAGAATTTATCTCACCACCTATCTTACACCTCTCATAGGTTTCATAGTATTTTTCATCGTACCCATCTGCATATGGGTTCTGAAGTTCCAGCCGAACAACATGTCCAGTTCTGTTGTCACAGCCTACTCCTTCCCAGCTGCAACAATCTTCGCTTCCATTCCAGTCCCAAGATGAGAGCCTATTTGAAGAATCTTTCAGACCTTTTTTGAAGTTCAAAAGAGCTTCTCTCTCTGATGGGCTGCAGAAGACGTCAACATTAATGCTGCAACTCTGTTGGATGATTGCAATGCACAGAATCCCAATCAAAAGAATTACCACTGTGCTTGTGGATTCAGCCATGTTCATGACCTCGTATAAGATGGGAGTTGATCGATAATAGAATATGGGRTATGGGGGTTATTTGTTTAAGAGCCAAGACAAAGACATTTAATTTGGATTTTGGCCAAACAAATTTCAATGACACATTGAGAAAAGATATTTAAGAATCACGATTATTAACTATGAGAGTAGTTGAATTCATTTATTTGTAGGAAAAGTGTATATGAATGTTGAGAGAGAGAGATTACTTGTTTTCTAAACTCCCAGAAGCCCCATGACTTTTTAAACTCACAATTAATGTTGAAAGCCATGGTTAGTTTTAGATAATTTTCTTTTATTTAAGAGCCAAGACAAAGACATTTAATTTGGGTTTTGACCCAACAAATTTCAAGGACAGATATTTAAAATCATGATAATTGAAAGGCGAGTGGTTGAATTCATTTATGGGTAAAAGCCTTAAGCCATCTTTGGGAGTGCTTATGGTAAAAATAAGTGCTTATTTACATTTGGCATCTAACTTTTTTAAAATAAGCACTTATTTTATATTGGGTGTTTGGTAGTCTTTTACTCCAATAAGCATTAAAATATTTTGTCCTTCATTTTCTTTCGAATTTTATGAAGGCACTTTTATAAAGTACTTTTATGAAAGCACTTTTACGAAAATACTTGTATAAAAGCACTTTTACGAAAATACTTGTATAAAAGCACTTTGCGAAAGTACTTTTATGAAAATACTTTTGTAAAAGTACTTTTATGAAAACACTTTTATGAAAGTACCTTTATAAAATTCAACTAGGAATAGTTTTATAAGTGGTATTTCAAAATTCAACTAGGGATAGTTTTGAAAGAAAAAAATTGAATTAGTGCTTATTGAATAAGCACTTGGAAAAAGTTGGAAATTTGGGCACAAAAATTAAGCCCTTGTTTTTAAAATAAACACTTATTTCCCAAACACCAATAAATACACCTGGACCCAAATAAGCACTTATTTTTAATCACTCCCAAACATGACCTTAAACCTCCCATTATATTTATACTAAATACTAAGACCTCCCATGTCGTTTTAAAATGGCCTAATAACTCCCCTGTTAGATGACGTTATTGGACAAAATACTCCCCTGTCCCAAGAATCCCTTAAGATATGTTTGTTTAATTTGTAACCTCACATGCCACTAAATATTTTCCTAAACTCAATGCTGCCCCTTTTTCTTTAGGAAACCAGAAGAAGAAGTGTTAACTGAGAATAACCACTGTAGGGTTGATGTGAAAAAACGAATTAAAAACTTGAAATGCCATAGGGATTTGTTGTGTCCCTAAACGAATTAAAAAAAATATATAAAGACTAAGAAAATCAGTTGAATGATCGTGAGAAGGGATCATGGTCAGGAAGAAAGGATATAAAAATGGAAAATTGAGAGAAGTATACTGACAAAAATGATAAGAGTGATCAAACCAGAAAAATGTGATAATGTTGACTTAGGTAGGCACCCTGGATTTGAACATGCAGTCCAATCGAGATATAACCAGTTAGCAAAGAATCAAGAAACAAGATAAATTAAGGAGAGGAAGCATCAGACATCAGACAAGTTTGAAAGTGAATTCGAACATTAAAGGAAGTATAATAAGGATCACAGGAAGCGGCCTGGCTTACATGAAAAGAATCAGAATTACAACTTAAGAATCATTCTTCAATATACAGATTGAGGATTACCTCAACTATAATCATGTAAATGATAATGATACCGGTCTAGAAGAGTGAAGGTGACAACAATATGTAATGAGAGATTGAACTGGATCGGTGATGAATCCACCGTCCTTAGTATATTTATATTAACAGAGTTGTGTATGTACAAGGAGTTAAGAAGAGTTACATGAGAGATAAGAAGATAAGATCTCCTATCATGGGAACTTCAGGGATAAGAAGATAAGAAGAATTGCATGAGAGAGTAGATTCCTGGTGGAAAACTAATGTAACTAAGAGTGTTATCTACTGAACATGTGGAAGCTACTCTAATAATATACCCCCTCAAGATGCATGCCGATCAAGCACATGGAGCTTGTTAAGTAGAGCTGTAAATTGTGCGCCACAAAGGGGCCTTGGTGAGAACGTCAGCAATCTGATCTCTGGAGGAGATGAACTGAACCCGAAGACGTAAGCACCAAATCACAAAGAAAGTGGAAGGTAACTTCGACATGGCGAGTACATACTCGAAACGTGGGATTGGCCACGAGATAAGTGGCTCTAATATTATCACACAAAATGGTGGGGGTTCTGGGAGGATGATACTGAGATCCCGGAGAAGAGATGCTAATGAAAGTACTTTGGTGGCCACCGTGGCACACGCTTGAAACTCAGACTCCATGCTGGAGCGTGCGATGGTGGCCTGTTTACAAGAGTTCCACACAACCAAGTTGTTCCCCAAGTAGATAGAAAAACCATCGATGGAGCGACAATCATCGAGACAAACAGCCCAGTCAACATCTGAATATGCTTGAAGCACAGAGACAGAGCCTCGGAATAAACACAAGCCAAGGGATATGGTATGTTTGAGATAACAGAGTATCCGTTTAACTGCAACCCAATGCACCTCGGGGGGAGACTATAAGAATTGAGAAACCTTCCTGACAGCGAAAGAGATGTTAGGTTAGGTGATAGCAACATAATGCAGGGCCCCAACAATACTTTTGTATTCAGTAGGATCGAAGAGAGGTCGACCGTCAAACTTGGACAGCTTAGTACTGGTAGCCATTGGAAAAGAAACTGGCTTAGCAGTATCAATGTGATTTTAGTGTAATAGATCACATATGTACTGTTGTTAGCTCAGGATGAGTCCATCAGAATATCAAAGAAGTTTAATACCTAAAAAATAATTAGCAGGACCAAGGTCCTTCAGAGAGAAGTGGTGTGATAGGTGCATGATGCACTCACGAATAGCCATATTAGAGGACCCAACTAAAGGGATGAGAGATCCATCATATGGATGGCCGAACCCTACAGGAAGGTAGGGCAAAATTTCAAAAATTTCTCTCTCTCCCATCTTGGAATCACATTCCCTGTTTTAGAAAAACTGCATTTTTCAATGATCAATCTTGAACCAAGAATCGAACCAGATCTGAACCAAAACAGTAGGAGAGGGATATACCTGATACGAAGAAACAGTATCCTCCAATGAAAGTGTTCACGCCCAAAGAAATCTCCAAAGACTGCTCCCACTGAAGATGACACAGTGTAGGGTGGAGCAGAATCAGCAGTGTTTTTCCTAAGAACCGAATCCTTCAGTAAGAATTCGATGGAGGCTGTGAGCATGACTTCAGATCAGCCTTTCTCCAAAGACTGATATTAAGAACTATTCTTGATCGCTCCTACTAAATTGGAGATCGAACTAGCAGTAGGCGGCAACTGGAGGAGAACGCAAGGAGATGATGGCGCAGTCACACTGTTGTTGTCTTCTCTCTGTGTGATCTGAGATCTGATCTCTGGGATGGTTGGATGAACTGAATGGTTCGCCCCCTCCTCCTTTTATAGACTTAAAGAAACCAGCTCCAAATCCCATTAGGAGTTTCCTAATTCAAATCCTTATTTGAATCTGGACTCTCTTTAAGTGATAAGGATAGATCCTTATCTTATCTGCAGATTAAATCAGCTCTCTCCTAATCTCATTAGGAGGCTTCCAGATCCAAATTCAGATCTGGACTCTCTGAGCGGATAGGGATAACTCCCTATCCTATCTGCTGATCCAATCCCAAATCCGCCCCTCTCTTTAATTAGTCCAACTAAACCAGTTCGAAATGGGCTTTAGGCCCAACAAGTCTTATGTGCTTAGTGGCCTTCCAAATTGCTACCCAGTTTGGCTTCTTTGTATGGTGTGGGACCCAAACATTGATCTACACATCAGCCACATGGGTTCAGCCCAGCCTCTGTTACAAGGCCTGGCCGAATTCACTGAAAAGACA